AAATTCACACCAAATGCGCCATGTGCATATCTGTATCAATACTGTACGAGTGGCGCAAGGGGATGCATTTCATGCGACCGAAAATAGGAAAAAAAAACTCTGCTATAGAACCATCTAAAATTTCAAATAGTATTTATTTGATTAAACAAAAGTGCATAATGAGGAAATTTAAAGCAATTTATGTAGGCAGAAAATCGTGAACGAATTTGGAAGTGAATCACGTTGATTTAAAAAAATGTTTGATATCAATATAAAGATCTTTTTATTTAAAGGGATCGTTATCTTGAAAAAAGTTAAGTTTCTTAGTTAATATATAATATTTTATTCAAATAATTTACATGTAAGGACTACTAGCAGTCTCAAATGGGGAACAAAGGCGATTTAAATTTAGTCATAAATGATCGCCCGTCTGGCCAGACTTTACTAGGTGACCACATTTTCTCGGGTCGATCGCCCATTTATCGTCCATCTGACTAGACTTTACCAGTGACTATTTTTTAGATTATTAATGACAAAATTTATGAGTATCTTTGAGAATGGAATTGTTTCCATTGGATTATATTTTATTACTAAAATTAATAATTAAAATTAGTTGTCAAGTTATAAAATTTTTTTTAGAGAATTAAGATCTTGAGAATTTACAAATTGAAATTGGAATAATAAAGTTTTTTAATGCGGGGAAAATGGATGGGTTTTATGTGGCGCAGTAACTTGATGTATTTATCATGCATCAGTAATAGGTGCCAAAGTCTATTTGGGTATGGCGGGATTTGCATGACTCGACATTAGATAGTTGGGACGCGTCGTACTAGTATAGGTAATTGATTTTTATTATCAAAAAAAATCAAAATTTAAATTTAAAATTTATTTATAAAATTAAAGAACCATTTTATATAAATTTTTATTTTTATGATATTTAGATTCTAAGTTTTTATTTTATATAATTTTATAATATAGTAATTTTTTTGTAATAAATAAATAAAAATATCCAATGTTTTGCACCACATTGTATATATACTGTAACGGTCGATCGGCTGATAGCGGCAAAGGTTTATAATAAAAGGCAAGCATTGAGGCGTTTTTTATTTGACCTTAATTTTATCAGGTTTTTATACATTTTTTTGTAGCACTAAGCGTACTTTTCCAATAAGTAAAAAAAAAATACCCAAATAAAATAAAATAAATAAATAAATAAATAGAAAAAGAATAATAATGTCGTAGCGAAAACATTACATAATAATTTTCACAATGTTCGTTGCATGATAATGATCATTAATTCGACAGGACATACCACGATCGTTTCTCGCGATTATCGATCACGTGACAAATGTCTTTTTTTTTTGTTGCGCCGTATCTTGCATAATTAATTTGCTTATTCTCTTCTCATTAAATTGTCTTGGCCTGGACAAGTTCGCATCTCGCAATACTTGGCGCAAATAAGCGAGAATCGGGTTTCTATTTTTGCCCCTTACAGTACATTTATGGATTACTCCAGTCGTCAGATTGCCATAAATACCCATCCGGTATTTCCGTTTCCGGGACCAACTAAGTTGTTTGAATGCATCACATACACGGATTTATCATGTTCAGAATGAATATATGTAGTATTTCTATTAGGCTTCTGTTCAAGTCTAAAATGTTGTTTGATATCTGCCCAATCTTGCGGTTTTAATTGAAATGATTTTTTGGATGGAACCCAAGTGACACACGTTTCCTTCCTTCCCAATCCGGGCGCGTATTTGGCAATGAAATATACGTCGAGGGTATTAGTGGAGATAAGCTTCCACAGTTGGTTTGGATCATTTTCATCTTTATTTATGAGAGCGATGTGATTATTGTTATCTGATGTCCAATATTGGTTCGATTCATTTTCTGATCTGATTTTGAATGATCTACCAGGAGCAGGAAAAGCACTATTCAAACTATTTCCACCTTCAGCAGATTCCGAGTCCCATTGAAATATTTTCTCTTCGTCTTTTGTAGTTCCAATTTCATATTCATAAGAACTTCCAAGATTATTTTTATGTCCGGCATATTCCAAATATGATGAAGATTTCGTAAGATCCTAAATAAATAATTCATATAAATAATTCTTTTATAAAACTACTAAAATTAATTCAGGAACTAAATATATTACCATTTCTATCATTTTCCATTATAAATAACGCAAGAAAAAGTATTATCAGGTTAAATAATATATTTTTAAAAAATAAATTGAATAACAATATGTAACCTACTTTTATCAAAGTCGCATTTATTTTCCCATATTTCTACCCTATTGCGACCATTATTTTTTGCACTATACAAAGCTTTGTCAGCATTATTAATCAAGTCATCATAATTATTTACGAATGAGTTTACTCCGGAAACTCCAATGCTAATTGTAACAGGTAATTTCTTTTCTATATAAATGAATGAGTGAGATTCAACAGCAGCTCTAATTTTCTCGGCCATTTCATATGTCGACTTAACGTTGGTATTCTTATGTATAACAATAAGCTCCTCTCCACCATATCGTGCAAAAATATCCTCAGGACGAATTAGAGTCTGAACAAATTTAACTAATTGTATTAAAACTTGGTCCCCGGCTTCATGGCCATTATCATCATTGACCTTTTTGAAATGATCTATATCAAGAAACATTAAACACAAGTCCTGTTTCTTTTCTTTTGCATTTGTAAATTCATTTTCCAAAATTTTCAATAAGTAATTCTTGTTATAAATCGGTAGAAATTTATCAAGACGATTTTCATATTCGCCAGCTGGAAGATATTGCAAAATGCAACGCCCTATTTTAATTTTATCATTTTTTTCTAAAGTACGATTTGTGTGGGATGCAAGTTTTCTGCCATTTACAAAAACTCCTGATTTTGAGCCTAAATCGAAGATTTCTACACTTCCTTGATAATTTTTAATACTTGCATGTTTCCCAGAAACTTCTTGATCTCTTATAAAAATATCATTTGAATTGTTTCTTCCTATAAACGTTTCGCCCAGAGGAAGGAAAAAGTATTGATTTTGAGGTGAACCTTCAATAACTGTTAAGCAAGCATCATTCTTTGATGTTGAATTACGATTTCTCCCATAAGAAATTTCTGGAGTATAATCGGAATATTGATATAGAAGGTTAATATCAACGTTTTTGAGATAATGAATGACATCTTTGATTAATGGACGTTCTTTATGATCATCGTCCCATGCGTTTTCGTAAAGCTCTATGTAATCTATAGGAGTTAAATCCACACGGGTTTCTCTCTTTTCAAGAATCGCAGCTTGTTTCAGTTTTTTCCCTCTTAATTCAGGCTTATCAATAAAAGGTGTTCTGCAGCTTGATATTTCCCATAATATCCATCCTAGACTGTAAATATCCGATGATTTATTGTATTTATAATCAAGCGTACGATCAAAAAGTTTCGGATCCACATAAGCAATATATTCAGGATCTAGATTCTCGTCAACAGTTTTGTGGGTTGATTCATTCACAGATATAGATGAACTAAAATCCACAATGACCAATTTGCCGTTGTGCTCTAATACGTTCTTTGGATTCTTTAAATGAAATAAGTGAATAAATGATGATTGTTTTACTGGCGAGGGTTTGCTGATTATATTGAACTATTTTAATATACTGACCAGTTCACAATGTATAATATCTGCATCATGAATGAACCTCAAACCCTTGGCAACATCTATAGCCATATTTATTTTAAGAGGCCAGCCTTTGTCCAGAACATTTTTATCTTTCAAATGTTCTCTAAGATTTTTACCGTTGCAATATTGCATTACCATATAGTAGTGGTTTTGAGGATCTAATATAATGAAGTGATAGTGTACATTAATCATATAAATTCCCGTTCGTTTAGATAGGATAGTACATGTAGGAAAAATACCTTTGGTAACACCAAGAAAATTAATTACGTTGTCATTATTTTCAATTTTTTTCAAAATTAATATCTATAATTCAAAATTTTAATATACCTAAGTAAATTAAACTCAAATCAGAAATTATAGTTTAAGTATACCTCTCTTTTAAGATTTTCATAATATTTATCATTACGTTCTTTTGGGTATTTAATTACAACACTTTTCTCACTCGTTTTCAGATAAGCCAGTTCGATCTTACTTGTTACTCCATCATTGATAACATCTCGGATTTTGAATTCGCTGTAATCAAACTCCCTTAACATTCCTTCATCAATAAATCCTTTAATTAATTCCATGGTTATTTAGAAAAGAATAAGATACCAAGCATAGTACACCGTATATTGCATAAAGACACTATTCAATTAATTATGTGGAGTCATACTATATATGTATGCATAGTCATGCTTTCAATATAGGGGTATAAAACGGGTTTAATGCCGGTTCGACTACATTAAATTTCACATGTACATAATAACGATTCGCTTATTGAACCGATTGAAATCCTCCAAAAAGGAAAGTTTGCCCTTTTATACATATTTCAACTGGGTATATTCGTACGAATGGGTGTCGTCTTTGTATGCAAATAAACAGGATTTTACCAGAATATGTGTAATGGAAGTTACGACGTTATACAAAGATTCCAAAATATTTATTTGATTACATGATCGGTTTACGTAGGCAGAAAATCGTGATTTAAAAAATGCATCCAAATAAAGATCTCTTTATTTAAAGAGGTCATCTTGGAAAAAAATTGTCTTAACTCATATAAACTTTTTATTCGAATAATTTATAACATGTAAGGAAGTTCATTTTCTCTTACAAATTGGTTATAATGCTTTAATTAATTTTTATAATATTTTAGGGCTCTCCCTAATCCTGGCAAATCATTCAAAATTAAAGCAACCGAACAAACGAACCAATATTGGACATCAGATAACAATAATCGCATCTGTCTCATGAATAAAGAAAAAAACGATCAAAACCAACAGTGGAAGCTACTCCCTACTACTACACCCGACGTATACTTCATTTCTAAATACGTACCCGGACCGGGAGGAACGGAAATGTGTGTCACTTGGGTTCAGTCTCAAAAATTCTTTCAATTAAAACCTCGAGATTTTGCAGATACGAAACAATATTTTAGGTTTGAACAGGTATTGGGTGGGAATACTACATCTATTTATTCTGCAGATGATAACTCCGTATATGCGGTGCATTCAGACTACTTGGTTGGTCCTGGAGCAACAGATACTCAATGGAGCATTACATCTTAGTTCATTTTTTTAGATATTTTATATTAAGAAATTATTGCGTTACTATCTTATTATCGCTATTTTACTTAACATTGTATTATGCCTTTTTTTAAGTACCGTACAATATATTGTAGAATGTTAAATATTGAATAAGTATGCGAAAGCGCATGGTTAGAGATTTTTTTATGGAACTATGTGAATTACTCCGCAGCGAAGTGACATTAGTATATAAATATCTTTTATAAACATAGACAACAAAAATCTCAAATTGGGAACCACTAGAAAAGCAGAAACTGCGCTCTGGCAGGTTCCAAATGGAAAGAATAAAGACTATAAAATCATATTGCAATTTGACTGAAAAACTGTGGACATTATTGAGATGCTTGTCTGTTGATTTTTAATTTGTGGTCCCTTAAACACGCAATTCATTAAATTGATACCATAACTGGATGTAAGAGAAGGAATTAGTTTTTAAAACTCTTCCTCAAATATCTTTATTTTATTATCGTTCTCATGAAATTCACCATCGCTCTCAGATTTATCATCCGCTTCTTTAGTAAATTCTACTTTCTATTAAATAAACATTTAGAGCTCGTATTTGAAGTAATGTTTTGCCTGGTCAGACTTATTATCTATTATCTTGTCTGGTCGGACTGTCTGTCTTGGCCTGTAAAATAGCGATTGAGTATGAACTAACAAGAAAAGTCACTCAAGCATAAAACATCAAGGGTCTTGTCAGATAGATGAAATCCATTTTAGTTATCAGTGAAAGGCAAAAGCAAAGATATTGAAATGAAAAGCGGAGGTTAATAAAGTTACTACATTTAAATTTTATGGTTTTCGAAGGAATTAATGTCAATATGCATTAATGTAAAATTGGCACTTAGTCGAGTCAGACTTAGTTGATTTTAGTCTGATCAGACCTGGTCGATCCCAGTCTGGTCAGACTTAGTCGATTCAATCCATCCCAAATCTAGTTGATTTCAGTCTGGTCAGACTTAGTCTATTTTAGTCTGATCAGACTTGGTCTATCCCAGTCTGGTCAGACATGATTCAATGTAAATTACATGGACGTATTTAGGGGACAGTCTGGTCAGACCCATTAATACGCTTGACCAGACCTACATTATATTTTCCGTAACTAAAAATTTATTAATCTTCGATAAACCATGATTTTAAAATTTATTATTAAAAATAGTTATTATTCGCCAGCGAATTTGACTTGAATAAAATAAAAAAAAATTTATAATAGCTTAACACTCGATAATAGAAACTTATGTAAATTTCAATTCGCTGCCTAATAAACTAATTGCTTGATTGTATCTTTCTTTCCATTTTTCTGATTCTTCAAATTTTGACATTTGAGGCGTAAGAATACGTTTTAACATGTCAAAATTTTCATGTAAAATACCTTCAATGCTTTTTAAATATCTTAACTGATTAATACCTTTAATTTCGTCAATTTTTTGTAAAATCTCGTAATCACGATTTTTGTAATTTGACAGGCTTTCGATTTTATCATATAGTTGTTTTTGAATTCTGCTGTTTTCTGGAAAATCCGTTAACTTATCTTCAATAGTTCTCTGCAAAGTTTTAATTCTATCACCAATTGTTTGTAAAGTTTTGTGTTCATTGTTCCAGTAATTTAATAGTTCTTGGAATTCGCTGCTTTTCTGGGAAATAATAATTCGTTGCAAATGTCTAATTTCATCATTAATCTTTTGCAAAATTTGATATTCGCGATCTTGATCATTTAATCGACTTTCAATCTCCGGCGAAAAGACTGACAATGATTTATTTTCGATGTTTCGTTGCAAATATTCTATTCCATCACTTATTCTTTGCAAAATTTTATATTTATTTGCTGATGAAACGCTTGATGATGACTTTCTTTCAATAATTAATTGCAAATTTTTAAACCCATCGGCAATTTTTTGCAGACTCGTGTTCGCGACTCTTTTCTACTTTGTGATCTTGTTCCTGGAAATTCTTTGAATTTTAATTGTATCGTCGATCTTTTGTAAAATTTTGGATTCGAGATTTTGTGAATTTAATATATCTTTGATAGTGTCGCAGATTTTTGATTGGAGAAAAACAATCAAAAATAATTGTGAACGGGAAATTGCATGGTCACATGAGTCTATGCAATGATGATCCTAAAAATGACAAATCTGAGAAAAATGAGATATCTGT